TAGGCCGACTCTATACTGACTGTTCACAACAAAGACAACAGAAATATAACAAAATTCTAGGCTAATTACTGCCTAGTTTTACTTCCCTTTAAACTTTCATAACCCAGTACTTCAAAGAGGCCAAACAAATAATAATTTTGCAGCATACAAAGACACACTGTCTAACCAAAGATGAGCAGGACACACACACAATCTCTAGTACAGAACTAAACATCAGAAACCAACAGGTCTCTCCCTGGCTGAATTACAAAGCTCCTTGAATCATTTCATACCATAACCCAGAAGACAAATCTTTTTCAGCCAACTAGGACTTACACCACAGATCAGCTGAATTCCCTGAACTCCATGAAGTACAAAAACAAGAAATTCTGCAGCCACTAACATCAGCAGCAGATTCTCACTGACTTCAGAAAGGCAAGACCTGATCTCAGGGTACCTGGCCTGTGTAACACATGCCTTCCCCACGATTAAACATCACTAAATAAGAAAGGCAACACCCGCTCTGTTAGTAAGTTTTCATATCTCCCCCTAGCACAGTACTAACGACTGTACTTTAATAATTCACAGACTCATTTACAGACAGCTTATTTTTTTAATTCCTAAAGAAATTATTTCGATTGTCTAGCCTGACCTTATGAATAATACAGGCGACACTAATTCCCTGAATTAAGTGCTGCTTCAATTCTAGGAGCAGGAACTTGAGCGTGTATCTTTTAGAAACATTTAATTTTGACTTAATGATTTCCAACAACTGAGACCAGCATAAAACTTGTCAGCTGGTTACAGGGCTGTTATCCTCTTAGTTTATGCTTTAATTGCTCCTCTAAATTCCTCCAGCTTTAGCACCCAGTTACTATTCTCTCTGTACCAGCATATGCCACACCCAACGCACGCACATGTGTAGTGCAAGCAAGCTACTCCTTCAACCTTCTCCTTGATAGAGTAACAAATTGCAGCCAGTGTGTTTTTCACTACAACAGAGTTTTTCTGCTTTACCTCATAGGACTTTTCATTGAACTGTTTCTGAATTTTCCAACATGTTGCTATGGACACCAGAAAAGAGCACTTTATTCTGAAGCAGGACTGAGCAGAGGCATAACAGTCTCTCTACTTGTACACTCAGTATTCCCACAGATCTAACTAACTAAGGACCACATCAGTTCTTTTGGCCACTCCACTACACACAGGTTTATCACTTGGAACCAGGAACAAAAGCAAGTTGTGTGTATAACTTCACACCTGTCCAAACTAATATAAATAGTATTTGCCAGTCCACCTTCCAAAAGGGGCATAACTAACCCATCCTCCTGGTTACTTATAATACTATAGTTATATTATATTCATATTATATTTATAAAGTCCTCATTGTCTACAAGTCTCATCAATATGCATCTTTTTTCTGCAAGTCATTAAATGGCTTAAGGTAAAGAAGTCATCTTTGAAATAACCACAAAAGAGCCATTAATGATGACCCTGAAAGTTATTTCTCATCTGTATGATGTGTGCTCTGGTAATTCTGTAGAATTCTAGTATTTTCAGGTACTACATGTTGAAGTAGAATATTTTTCAAGGACCTGTGTTATTATACTGGGGCTGCTGCCTTCTTTTCATCAAAGAAAGTCATCAAACATACTAAGTGTGATGCAATCATTATAACTGTCTGTAAATACATGCTAATTTTAAATTCTTGATTGACCAAACCCCTGCATTTCCTACCTCATGAATCTACTCAGGAGCTATCACATTTTGCTTATTTCAATGAAAGCAATCCTTATTCTGACTCACTTCACTGGACTTGTGTCCAGTACTGACTGTGTGAAATTAGTTCTTTTGGAGTACCAAGCACATGCAGTACTGGTCTAGGCTTTATTTTATTTACTCAGAATATAATGATTGCACGCACTTAAGCAATATTTTAAAGGGAAAAAAAAAAGCATATTGCCATCCACTACTTCCTTTATTCATTAAGGTGAGGACTAACAGAGATTTCTTTGATGGATGCAACAGAACCTCTAGACTCAGGATCTTGCCATTTAAACTGTATTTAAAAATATTTCACAGATGCTGTGGACCGGCAGCAGGAGGCCTTCAGCTTAAATCATCTGCACTTATATAGCTCCATCTTTACATATTACATACAATTAAAACTTTACATATGACATAATGTAGAAATATGCTTTAATGCAATTAGGACATCTACAGAAAGGGTATCAAGCATGTGCTAGGAAAGATTTTGAATGCTTATGGATCAGTATTTCAGATATGTCAATTATTTGGAACCAGTAAATGCCTTTTCTGGCAGGCTGCCATTCTTCCTCCCTTTTAACACACTCTCAGTTATTCCTGAGTAGGTTGTAGCAAGGCTTGGTACAATTAAGAAGTCAATAAAAATTAATAATCAATGAGTGATGGCAGTACAGCCTACATACAGCCTCGAGTATTGATCAGATTTTAACTTTGAAGAAGAGAAGCAACAATTCAGTAGAGCAAACCTTCAGAAATCCAGAGTCTTGAAGGGGGCAAAAGTCAAAAATTCTCAGAAAGAGTATTCCATAATGAAAAGTGGCCAGGAAAAAAATTCTCTAAGCTTAATTTTATTAAACACTTCCAGAAAAATATCAAGACCTGCTAGCTTCTCTGTAAGAACATGTTTCAATGTGAAGCCATGCAGCTCTTCAAACTACTTTCATAACCAAGTTGAGTGTGGTCCAAGAAACTAATCTAATTCCTCTCATTTTTTGTCAGAGACCCCAATATTGGTATGTAAGAACTTCCAGAACAAATTTTCTTTGTTTACTTTAATTTCCCAGTATTTAGCATTAATACTGAGATACTGAGAGCAGCTAGAGCCATCCTTCACTCCTCTTTTGTCATTTTTAATTCTTACATGTATTTGCTGATACATCTCCAGTAAAACAGATGGTGATGCAAAGTGTAGAGCTGCAAAAGGTAGAGCTGCCTTGACCAAGTGTAGTGTTTTATAGCCTGAAACCTCCAAGAAAGTGTATCTTTCTCATGGTTCCCTGCAGTATTCCGTCCTTCATGGGTTGTACCAGAAAAGTGTAGGTTTTTTTATCTAGTTGGAAGATCTCTTTTTTCCTTACCATTATGCTGAGCAACCTCTGTGCACAATCTGCTGTATCGATCCATTCCATTTCACCAGCTGAACTTAGCAATATGAAGGTCACACTGCCATTTCCATGCAAAGACTCCATATCTTAACTCTCCTGAACCTCTTCTTTCTGCACTCCATTTCATCTGGTTGTGTTCAAACACATTAAACTTGCCATGTCTTGTGCCTAGTGATTGCAAACTGTCATGTCTTTCTGTCAATGACTAAACTGCCACCCAGTTTCTCACTTTCTTTCTTGAATCCAAACTACCAGTGTTTCCTGAATCAGGTGGTATAAAATTCCTCATTGTCTCTGATGGTGAGATGACTGTCTTACAACACGGACTGTATACATAGGTACTCATACTTCAAATATGTCAAATCATTCCACTCAAGAAGAAAGTGAACTGAGCTTAGCAGGTACAGCTCATGACTCCTTAATGCCATCAATTCCAATACTGTGTATCACAATGAACCTAATGTAAAAGTCCCATATGTACCCCCTTCAAATACAATTATATATGCTAAAACCAGGTAAGTTTACATAAACTGGTCTCTTTTCGAGTTTTAACCTAACTGCCCAGAGAGCCTAAACTCATTTAAATAGAAAACCAAGTACACATTATCACAAAGGGTTTGGACACAAAGAAGTCACTGTAATAGTCTACTGCAAGGCAAGTAAGACTCGCAGACCTGTATTAAACAACTGCATCAAAAAGTGAAATGCAACTAGTGATCATACCTAATTTGTGTGTTGCTTCAATGTGCTCTGGTTAACTTAGCAACTGCAAACACAGTGTTAATGTCAAACAATAAAAAGCCCACGAACCTGTACAAGTACTTCGAATAATACAGTGATCTATAATGGGGCTGCAGTTCACGGTGATCTCTAAGCAGTGGTGTGCATTGTGGTGCTGAGCAGATTTGTCATCAGGGTTGAACTGAAAAAGGAAGAAAACACAGAAATGTTGTATTTAATTGCTCAGGCAATAAAATTAAGTTTCTAAAAGATCTGCTTAAGTTTGAGATTCTTACCCTGATTGTCATATAGCCAACATAGGCATCTTCAGAACCCTCCATAAAAACGAAGGTGGAATCTCTAGTGTTTTCTATTATGACTTTATCTGCTACTTTTCCTGGTGCTGGAAAGAAAACAATGAGTAGGTTTAGTTTATGCCACAAAAAAAAAAATTCTAAAAAAACTTACAGAATTCTGTTCAAAGCAACGAAGAAAAATTAACACTATTCTCAGCACATATATAGTCTTCATGCCTGAGGAATCTTAAAAAAGAAAGTTTCAAAAATAATAAAGAAACTAAACTTTAACTAATACAATCTGGCACCAATTTAATATCTAGTACCACAAGAAAAACCTTCACTTGTACTGAGCTAGTTTTTGACTACTATTTATCAGGAAATGAATTAACCATTTAAACATGGATACCAGGCTGGAGGCACTTTAATCCTGCTCTAAATACAATTTATTTCAGTATTCTAAACCCTTTTATTAAACCTAAAAACAAACTCCATCACTAATTTGAAGCAATACTTAGTAATCTGCTCATGACCTACAAGTGACCTCCCCACACTTCTCAAACATACGATTCAGAGTTTTGAATTTATATCCTCATTATTCTCTAGGAAAAAAAGAAATCTTATCAAATCAGAATGAACTATACTACTGAAAGAATGTACAAAAGGTTTTAAAGTGGTTCATTCGCAGGTCACCATAACGTGCCATTTGATTTCCTATGTAACCAGCAGCCTCTGCTCGATTCTTTATCCCTAATCCAAAGGCAGGCAATGTTTACACTGCGATGGGAAGAGCCAGCAGAGGGAGCACGAGTTAACAACAGCTTTGCACTGGAATAAATTCAATGCCCCTCATTCACGAGCACGGTGATTCGTCCGATTCCAAACTGCACATGAAATATGCAAGCCAGAAGTAGCCTTACTCAATACACCAAACATAAACGAGGAAGTTTCACATACTATAGCAGATAGCAATTTTAAACCATTCCCAACTCATGACGCACAAACGTGACCAGATATTTGCCCCAAATTCTTTATTTTATTGAAGAGCCTACACACAGGATGTCTCACAAGCAGATCCTTTTCTGGTGTCTGTCGACACTACTACAGCCAAGTGGTATGTCCTGTTCTTTTATCACTCTGGCAGAAAGGTGTCAGTCAGAATGAAGCAACATTTACATTATTATCCAGCTTGTTCTCACTATCTAAAAGCTTCATCTCCGCTTTCATTACTGCAGAGCTGCAAATATTTTAAGGCAGTCTAGCTCTTCTTCATACCACTTAGTACTAGACAGCAACTAAAGGAGGCTTTGATGAGTTCTGTCATCATACAAAACACCTTTCTGTGGCTTGGTAACATCTCTATATATTCACCATGATACAAATGCACTGGCATAAACACATATTTCACCATACAAAAAAAGAAACCAGCACCACGGTACTGCAGGTGAACCAAAACCAGAAAATAAACAGAGCCCTTAAGAGGATGTAAGAGAGCCATACATTAGTATCAGAATTGTGTTCCTTTTCAGGGTGGCACAGAAAAATTGCACTTCACACTGGATGCTCTGAAACACTATTAAACAGAGAAAATTTGTGAAACTGTGCCTTGTAGGTATTTACAATGCACTTGGATCATGGTCTCTACAGACATCTCCTTCTCCTCAGCATGTAAGTCACTATACAGGTCTCCAAGTTTTGGAGGTCCCAGAATGCCCATCATGGAACATGCCAGTTAGTAAGATCACTGCACTTACATCTCCTAGGGAGAGATTGAAGACTTCCTTAAGCATTGGTTTCATTCTAAATGCACTGATGAAGTTCTCTGCAACATCCTGTTGAATCTTTGCAAAATCATTACTCAGAGAAATATCTGTATTTCAGCTTTTGGCTTAGACCACTTTAGAAGAAATAAACCAGTAGAAGAATCGGAAGACAAGGGCCACTAATTTCACAATCAGCAAAACATAGCTCCCAAGACATCTGTTTGCTGAAGTCTAAGGGAGTTATGTTCCATAGGGTCAGAATTCAGGCTCAGCTAAAGGATCAAGATGAGACCATTTAGAAATAATTCAACAGAAAGCCTATGATAAGGGACTGCCTAAAGAATTAAAAGCTGGATGTTGCCTCAGAACTCTCTTATTCCTCAGAAGGAATAAAACAATTTCACTTTTCAGTGCATTAACAGAAAAAGCACTACATTCTGCAGGAAACAGTTGTGACCCTGCTCAATTGTACCAAGCAAAAAAAACCATTCTGCAGGAAACAGTTGTGACCCTGTTCAATCGTACCAAGCAAAAAAAATTGATACCCTTTTAGATACTGTGGTCTGCAAAATCTACAGCCAAGACACAGCTCTAAACCACTTCAAAATACAACTTTAATTCAAAGATGCAGAATGGGCATCTAAAGAAGAGTTCAGGCATGTGAAGTTCTCTTGGACTCTAAAGTTAAAAAAAAACCCATTCAATCATTATAGTCTTTACCATTTTAGGTTTCTCCACCCTTGAAATTACTTTCTTAATTGAAAAATCCTTTGATAATCCCTTTTCACTTACTTGTAAATTAAGTCAAATGGAAAAAATAGAGGAAAAAATTAAAGATGTAGCTCCTAAAATACAGAAAAAACACACAAATTCAGCAAAGATTCTGAAATGAGAACACATTGTGCAGTTACCAAAACTCCAATTGAGAGACTTTGTGTCTGGAACGAGATGAGTACTCCATGAAAGGCTCATATTCCTGCAGTAATCACACACTGCCTCCCCAACGCTGGGAAATTGAATTCTCTTAAGAAATTCATAGGTACTTCTGTCTGCTGAGCCACATGCAACAGTTTCCTTACAGGACCTACACTCTCGCTTCTTACTTGACAGTTCAGATAAGGCACAGTACTAGTAATACCTCCAAAGGCTTCCTTCTGAACCAACTCCTTCCCCTAGACTTCAGGAAAGAAATAAACAATGCCAAAATTAAACAGAACAACAAACCTACGATACCAGGCATTATTCCCTAAGAACATTTTGCTTATATGAGAAAGCAGAAGCTTCTTGCAAGCTCGAGGTATGTTAAGCTGCCTTTCTAATAATGCTGTGCTTCTTCAGAAGTCAGCACAAGAAACTATTAAAGAAATTTGAGTAGAACTGTGGAGAGATTTGGTGCTGCCTTAATCCTACCATTCTGAACAGCATGCCAGACTGAACAGAAAAGAGTTAGTTCTCCAAGGCTTAGTGGTTCACTTTAATTTGTTTTCTTTTCCAGACAAATGAAAATTGACTCTCTCTACAATGTCACTCACCATTCAGTGGAAAAGTCTGAGGAAGTGAAGTCAGCAGTGCCAAAAACTGAAATATAAAAGCATCTAGCATTTCTGGATACCTCTTGGAGGCTTTGTTCCCCAAGACAGCTATTCTGTTACAAAAACACACAATGCAGATCCCTTGCTTTTAAAGGACTGTAGTTAAGATAACTCTTTTTCTGAATAACTTCGGTTAATTCCAGTGGAAGGGAAAGCAGAGGGCCTTTCAAAACTTAAAAGGAGCCAGAGAACATGCAGAAGTTTAACCAGATATCAAAGATGTCATTTCAAGTGTTGTAAGTAATTGAGTAATTTTGTATCTTAGGACAGTGCTGATCCAGTTTCTTCTGGATTTTAAAACACTTCATGAATATGACTTGCCCTATTTGTACCAGCATCTATTACCATCACCCCCTATCTGAAACAGAAGCCAGGGATATTCTGTTATTTGTCTGTGGTCACGTCTCCATGAGCAAGCACTGCAGCCTAACATGAGTGGTAATACAGAGGGAAGAAGAGCAACATCCAAACCACACGTGTTGCAGGACAAGAAGGGCAGAACAGACTGACTTTGGACTAGTCCTAGCCCAGTCCCTCTGACTGAACATACACTGACTACTAGAGTGCAGTAAGAGTATTCCAGGAACATGTCCCTTAAAGTAGTCTCATCCAAAAGGAATCCAGTTTCTGCTCCAAAACCTCTCCACCACCAAATCAAAGCACTATTAAGTGGCGATATTCAGAATGTTAGCTTCAAAAATGTAGTCAAGAACTGACAAAGTAACATACTAACACAGACACATCTTGCAGAACTGTATGGACAAATTTTAAGAGGAACACTGGAACAATCTGACTGCATGGCTCAAAACCATTCCCACTGCCAAGACTGCAAAACCCAGACAAGAAGTGCCAGAACAGGCTCACTCAAGAACAAAACAGTTGGTAGGCAGAACAGATAAATACCCAAAGAGGGACTTTTCTAACAAAGGAAAAAACTAGAACACCCCCACAAAACACACCCACCGAAACTAACAACCAACCTCACCCTAAGGAATAAAAAACCCCAACCTACCACCCTCCCCCCAAAAAAACCCCACCACAACCCAGAAAACCCAATCAACCAAACCAAGACAGACAGATTGCATCTCAGAAAAAACAAACAGCAGGCAATTCACTTCTGGGTCAACACAAGAGCAAGAGGTCTGAGACCCTTTAACCAAGATCTTGACCAGACATTAAGACAGTCTAAATTCCTACAGGTATTATGCTACTTGGAATTAGTATGCTCACAGTAGTGACAGGAAAACCAAACAGCTCCACAAGTACCCAACAGTGCAGCCAGGTGTATTATCTTGTATTAGCTTTCTAAACCTGTCCTATTCTGAAAGTCTTATTTCCTTCTCCATAAAGGTTTTCCTTCAGAGGAACAGTTGGGAGATGAACTGAGAAAGAACCTTCAGTGTCAGAATCTTTCTTTCTGTTGGATGTTCTCATTTCCTTCTCCAAGATGGAATTACGAGATGCTGAAGAAAATGGGACAGATACTAATTTGGGCTTGCTCCCACTGCTAGTTTCTACTCTGAAGATGGGTTTTATATA